CTGGAACTGAGGGGGGAAGAAGGGAGAGGGTGGGAGAGGGGGGTAAAGGAGAGAAATGACCCAAACAATGTATGCACATGTGAATAAATGAATAATTTTAAAAAAGAGAGACGCTATTCAAAACAACACTTAGATTTCATGTCACCCCAGTTAAAATGGCCATAATCAAGAGTAATAACAACATCAAATACTGGTGAGGATGTGGTGAAACAGGAGCCCTTATACACTGCTGGTGGGAATGCAAATTAGTATAACCATTATGGAAAGCAGTATGGAGATTTCTGAAAAAACTAGAGATAAGACTACCATATGATCCAGTGATCCCATTATTAATTGCCAACATCATCTAAAGTACCCATCTCCTCAGTCATTATCTGCACCCTTAATCTGTTTTCTTTTCTTGACATCTTATAACCAGAAGGCCTTTCTGTTTCATAAGTCTGCTTATTGTTATCTGGGTTATCTATTCACTTCTAACCTGTATTCTCTCACCAGCAGTTAACTTCATGAGGGCACAGCTTTTGTCTGTCCTAGATGCTGATAATCCACAGCTTTTAAAACAGTGCCTGGAAGCTGGGCATTGTGGCACACATTTGTAATCCTAGCCCTTGGGAGTCTGAGGCACAAGGATCATGTATTCAAACCCAGCATGGACTTTAGAGTGAGACCCTGTCTTGAAAAAAAAAAACAGTGGCTGGAATACACTAAGTGCAGTAATTTATTTTTGTGAGATTGTAGATTGAACTCAGAGCTTCACACTTGCTAGGGAGGGACCTACCACTTTAGCAACACTCTCACTCTAATTGTAGCAAATTTTTGAATAAGTGGATAGTAAATTATATACCTAAAATTTATGGAGCAGAAACTCTGCTCCATGAACCAGGTCTGATGGTTCATACCTGTAATCCTGGCACTCGGGAGGCTAAGGGAGGCGGATCATGAGTGCTTAGGCTGGGTCATGCCCCTTCCCTCTTTGCTGTCAAAATAACCTACATATAATTGCCAGTGCATATATGCATAAACGACTTATGCCATTTCTTGTAATTATTAGTTTTTGAATCTAACTCTGAGCTCCTTGAAGGCAGAGATTATCCCATCTTGGTGTTCACAGATCTAAAATAGGGCCTGAAACATAAGGGGTATTCAAACATATTTTTATATAACAGTGAGTGAGTAAAGCAGTAGGTAACAATGAATGGCACCAGCATCCACATAGAAACTGTAGGCACTTCCCCTCACTTCCCTGAGATGCTGTTGTCTTACTGCTTCAGGGAGCTATCTCTATCCCTTCATGCAGGTCTACTGTGTGCCAAGCACAGTACTTGGCGTGGGAAATACAGAAATGAATAAAACAGTTCTGATTGCAAAGGAGTGGGGTGGGAGAACAACCAAAATCCCAATTGGTGCCATTAGCATTTAGGGTATGCAAGTGGTGCTTTGAAAGCAAGGAGAGAACACCTGGTCCTGAAACAAGTATGCCTGGTGAGTTTGGTAGGACAGTAGAGATAAGCCTGAGAGCATGTTGCTGAGTGTGACTCAAAGGAGATTGAGTATCCCTCATCCAAAATGCTTGACAACAGAGGTGTTCTGGATATCGAGGGTTTTCAGATTCCAGAATACAGTATTTGCATATGCATAATGATAAATCTTGGGGATGGGACTCAAGTCCCATGTATATATACATGTATATACATTATACACATAGACTGAAGGTAATTTTATACAATATTTTTAATGCACCTGCATTTTGACTGTGACCTATCACAAGAGGTCATGTGTGGAATTTTCCACTTGTGACATCATTTCAGTGTTCAAAAGGTTTTGGAGCATTTTGGAATTCAGATTTTCAAATTAGGGATTCTCATGAGGAGAAGTAGCAAGAGATAAGGCTATAAAAATAGGCAGAGAGGCTGAGGGTGTAGATCAAGTGGCAGAGATCCTGAGTTTAAACTCAAGTATACTCACCCACAAAGATACAGAACAGCTCACAAAGGGACTGGAAAGTTACCTTCGATGTCAAAGTTCTTGGCAATTCAAGGATTGGTCAAGTGAAAGATAAGGCTGAGAGAAAGCAGGGATAAGAGTTAAAAAGTGGACAGACTGTAGAGATCGAATCAACATGATGGCTGTTTCTCTGTGGGAGGAGGTGGAGAGAGTACCTTTGAACAAAGGAGAACTCCCAGGTTTCTGTGTGGATGATGGTACCATTCACTGATAAAGAAAACATGGGGTGGAGGGGGTGTGAAATTTTAAACCATGCCTAGTAGAGCCTGCCACCTAGTAGGTACTCAATAAGTAGCTATTGACTTGAAATGGAACTTAATTAAAAGAAGGTAAGAAAGAGAGAGAGAGCGAGAAAGAGAAATGCACCTCCTGAGTCATCTGGCAACTTCTACTGGGTCAGTGGTTGAGGCCACCTGACCTGTGGTGTACCCATCTAACCAGCAGCCCACATCCCAGCTAGTAACCTACATCCCATCTGGTGCTCCCACCACCCCTAGCACCTCTGCCATGTGGGCCATGTCACAAGCCAAGTCCCCAGCAGAGGGCGTAGTGAAAAACCTGCCACTATAGAGCTATCAAGGCCAAGTGGTGCTGGACATAGTGCCGGCCCCTAAGCAGCTGGACCTCCCCACAGCTAATTTTCCTGAACAAATAGTAGACGATATTCCAGCTATTGTATCCACTGGCATTTGTCACAGGTGGGCAAGAGTTGGAAGTGGAGATGTCCATAAGGTGGTGGTGAGCATAGAAATATGAAAAAGTTCATAAAACTCATATCATACATACCTCCAAAGAGAACTTCTATGAAGAAATCCTCAGTGTGTCCATTGTTGGCTACCTCAGACTTGTCACTAATTCTAGTGATTCTAATGATTCAAAGTGGTATTAAAGAAGGTAGGAAACAACTAGATTTACCAGAATAATTGAAACTCAAAGATGGCAATTTCTTCCAAGTTTCTAAAGGCAAAATTATGAATGGCCACTGATGAAAAATTACCTTATTTATTCTTTTCTATTTTTGAGTACTTCACTGTTCATAACTGTAGTCTCATCTTGGTTGTATTATTTAAATCAAATGTTTTCCTTTGGCTATGAATTAAACAGTACAATGTAGTTACCTTACTATGTTTCTGTTAAACTAAACCCATCATGCTATAATACTAAAAAGATTCATTTAAAAACTCAAGATTCACTGGGCGCCAGTGGCTCATGCCTGTAATCCTAGTCACTCAGGAAGCAGAGATCAGGAGGATCATGGTTCAAAGTCAGCCCAACAGTTCATGAAACCATATCTTTAAAAAAAAAAAAAAGCCTACCACATAAAAAGGGCTGGCAGAATGTCTCAAGTGATTATAGCATCTGCCTAGCAGGTCTCTGAGTTCAAACCCCAGTGCTGCCAAAAGAAAAAAAAAAATCAAGATTCTAGCAGATACAATAGGATTTGAAAGTTGGAGGCCAGCTTGGGCTACATAGTGAGTTCAAGGCCAACCTAGCCCACATAGTGAAATCCTGTTTCAAAAATAAAAATAAGTTGGCTCCAATGGTTCATACTTGTAATCCTAGCTACTTCAGAGATGAAGTAGCTAGGCCAGCCCCGGCAAATAGCTCTCTAAACCCCCATCTCCAAAATAACTACAACAAAATGAACTGGAGGTTTGGCTGCTTTGCAGGACTGCAGCCCTGAGTTTAAAACCTAGTCCCACTTAAAAAATAAAATCAAATTAAATACTGAAAATTAAATAATATTCCTTTATGTAACATGTTGATTTAAATGAACTACTCAAAAGATACTAAGAGTCTTATAATAGAAATAAAATGTATATAAGGATGGGTTTTTAAAAAAAAGCAAGTCATGAATTTAAGATGAGAACTATAACCCTCATGGTAAATGACCAGCATGCATATACTTGTACAATATATGCTACCAGAGGAGGCTTATAAGAGTTAATGCATTATTTGATAATTTACTATAAATCTGTGTTAGTCAGTATTTTCATTACTGTGACAAATATCTGAGAGAAACAATTCAAAAGAGAGAAAGCTTTATTCTGGCTCATGATTTCAGAAGTGACCATCCAAGGTCAGCTGGATCCATGGCTTTAGGCCTGAGGTGAGGCCAAATATCATAGCAGCCTGGAAAATGGGGCAAAGATTGGCTGTCTCATGGCATCCAGGAAACAAAAGGAGGGAAGAGGGGAAAAGGGATGAGATACATCCCTAGTGGTCTACTTCCTTCATCTAAGTCCAACCTCCTGGTTTCCACCACCTTCCAATCTTGTTATCATATTATGATAATCCATCAAAGGATTGATCTATTGATCCATCACTTCTCAAAAGGCCATCAGCTGGTAACTAAGCCCTCAACACATAAGCCATCAGGTAACTTCTCAGATTCAAACTATAACAAAACCTAAGGAAGAAAACACAGATTGTATTTTTGATATTTTGTGCATTAATATATTACTAACATGAAAACTTCTGTGAAGTTTTGTTTCCCTTATAAGGTCAATTCATTACACTGTTTCTGTGTTCATGCAGATTTGCTTCAATTTTTTTTTTAAGACAGTAAAATGAGTGGTATTGTAAATGGCTGGTAGGAGAGACCTGTGAGTAAATGTCACTCAGAAAGGACAAAGAGTGAAAAGAAGACTGATTAAGGAATCCTGGGGGAAAAAGAACAAGGTTTAAGGGGTAATACAGGAAGAAAAAACATTATTGAGCGCTTATAGCAAAGAACTATACTAAATGCTTTTTTTAAAAATGTGATTGTATGTCCATATGATGAAAGTGTTTAAGGAGCAAGTGGCCAGCAGGATATTTCTATGCCACTGGACTAGAAGAGCCCAGGATTCAGTAGAAAATGAAGAAAAATTTGGCATGCAAGCCCCATTCCAGGTTCCCACATTGTTTATTCCTTGTACTACCTTCTCCACACCCACCCTCATCCTTTCAACATGGAGTCTGTATTAGATGAAAATTACTTTTATTAACAGTGAATGCAGGTCAGTTTGAGTGGCCACTCTTCTTTTAGAGGACACTAGGCTGCAGAAGCCAGAAAGGGAGGGCCAGAGCTAAGCGGTGGGTACAGAATTCGCTCCTTATTTGGATGTGAGTGCTGCATTCTGGAAGGATTTATTTTGGGACAAGGCATAGGCACAGGGGAGGCAGGCAAGACCAGCTATCAGGCTGCACTCTCTATTTGGAGCAGAGCCCCATCGGCAGCTCCAGGTCTCTCTGGATCTTCCTTGGCGTCCTGCGGAGGATCTGGTTGCAGCGCAGACTCCTGCACAGGGTGGGCTACAGCCTGGCCTTCAGGCTGGCCTTCAGCGCTCCGGCCGGCCCCAAGACGAGGAGGCTTGGCCGGCGTGGGAGAAGGCGCTGCAGGGCCTTTCCGACCCGAAAAGGCCCTTCGCAGGCTTTGTACTTTCTGCAAACCGGTGCGCTTCAGCCGCCGAGCCCGGGACTCCACAGGCTCCTCATCCGAGCTCTCTCCAGCTTCGGCCTCCGGCTGCTCAGAGTCTAAGTTGGACTGGTCCTCCTGACCCAAGGGCTCTGGAGCCTTCTGGAAGGCGCTGGCTGGGATTTCAGTTTCCTCCTGCATGTGATGACACAACATTGACCCTGGCATCCCCTTACCCCAGACCAATCTGAGATTCAACTCCTCAGTTACACCAGGGGAAGCGATCCTACCCTTAACCCCCAACAGCCAGAGCAGGGAAGAAAAGGCAGGCCTGGGAAGGCAGGAAGAGGGGGAGAGGAGTGAAGGAGGAGGACTGGAAGTGAACTGCAGAACTTTGCAAAGTTGGTGAGATCCTGTTACAGAGGAAACAAAGATAGTGGCCACTTGAATACTGAAGGAGGCAGAAATTGTCACGGAATGCACTTTCACCACCTTATTTTTTTTTTTTTGCAGTATTGCTTTTGAACTCAGGGCCTCAAGCTTGCTAAGCATGCAGCACCATCATTATTTTCATTTAGAGATGAGCTAGAGTTTAGAGCAAATTCTGCGCACGAGCTCAGCTAGAGCAAGGCTGGGCTCAGAACTGTGAGGGAGGAATGGGGCTGCGCTGTAGGAAGTGGGGGCGGCTCTGGAAGCCTGTTCCACAGCTGTGGGCGGCGCTTGGAGTCAGGAATGTAGACATGGTAAGGCAGATGGGAAAGATGAGTCCCCAGCTTGGTGGCCCAGGGGCGGGAAAAAGCCCCAGGTTGGGGGACACCTGAGGTCACTGACCTTGAAGAGCAGGACATGCAGCTTCCCGCGCGCCACCAGCAACCCATGGTTGGCCTCCAGCCTCTGCACCTGGGCCGCGCGACGCACGGCGCGCTCCTGGGCGGCATCTGCGTGCGAGCCCACGCGTTCCGCCTTGGCCAGCAGCTGCGCCAACGTGTTGCTGGTGGTGTCGTGGCTGCGACTCAGCGCGCCCAGGCCACTCTGGATGCGTCGCACCGAGCCCGCCAGGCCGCCCTGCCTCTGAGCCAGGCCGCCCTGCCTCTCCCGCAGCGCCTCCAGCATAGTGGCCAGCTTCTCCAGCAGGGTCACCACCGTTACTGCATGCACGGGACCCCCAGGCGTCCCATGCCCCGGCCCTGGCTCCAGCGTGCTCTCCCCCATGACTCCTGACCACTCTGCTCGCTCTCCCTGAGGCCGATGGCTGCGCTCTGAACTGGGGCCGCCTTTCCCCGGCTCCTCCCCAGCTGCAGCCGTGACTCAGGCAGGCGGAGTTGGCCCTCTCCAGAGCTGGGGAAGGGGGAGGGAGAGCAGGGGACTGGATGTCGGCTATGGGTCCTTTGGAAGCCCTCCCGCTCCCGCTGCCCCGCCCAGGGGACCCGCAGAAAAGCAATTTGACCAGAATTGCGCCCCCACCCCCACCCCCTGCAAAACTCTAAGTTTGAGATACTTTCTTCCTCCCAATTCCCTAGTGTGCCTCTTTCTGGTATGCACTCTCCCCACAGCAAAGGGCGAGGCACGGAAATTTTTATTTCATACATCCAGTGGGCAGAGAAACTATGTTAGCGCAGCAAAGGGAGGCGCAGTAAAGGGTGGTGTTGCAAAGGGATAACCAGGAGTGTCCGCTGACACCCACCTTTAGCCTCCCACACTGCTGAAGATTGCAGTTGGGAGGACCTCAGGCTGGGCGCGGTGGACTGGAGGCCCTGGAATGTTCCATTACAGATCGTGGACCGCCTAGGCCCGAGGCCCCACTTTGTTACTAGACCAACTGCAAATGTGAGCCAGAGGCAGGCGGGGCTCCTTGGTATTTTCCTAATAGTCATCGCCATGGTTTAGCCTCAAGCAACATTTCTTGCTTCTCTGTTTCTTCCTGTTGGGTAGCATTGTTCAGTTTTCTTTCTCTACTTCTCTTTCTTTGGACTTCATGGATATAGCTCAGCTGTGGGTTAGAGTACTTACTAGTGGGTGTTTATTTTCATGGAGGTTGACTGTGGCTCCTGCCTGAGGAGTTCCCCCACCACCACCTCTGGAAATAAGATGAGAATATTTGCTAAGAATGAAATTTTGAAATTTCTGTTGTGTGAACACGGAGGGTCCAATTAAGGTTGTAACTTATAAATTTGTGATGTCATTAGTTTGGAAAATCTCAGACCTTGTCTTTTTAGCAAGACTGGGCACCTGGTTGTAGTCTAAGCAATCCATGGATCCTAATGATCTCTCTCCCTCTTCCTCTCCTCACCCACCCAATGAAGGTCTCTTGATAACAACTGTAGAGGAAACCAGTTGCTCAGGGGATAGTTAGGTGGGCCTGAAAGTACCTGAGGTCTGACTTAGAAGTACAGCAGAGGATGGGCAACTGTTGCTAGAAATCTGGTGATGGAGGCTGGCAGAGTGGCTCAAGTGGTAGAACACCTGCCTAGCAAGTGTGAGGTCCTGAGTTCAAACCCCATTTCACCACCCCAAAAAAGAAATCTGGTGATGGTAAGTTGGTGCCTAACTTCTACAAATACAAGGTCATGGGGTCTGGTCCCTCTACTTGACACTAGAGAAAATGTGCTCCTTGGGAACCTGGTGATAATCACTATATCTTCCAGTGGCTCTACAAAAAGGAGCCCAATGGGATGTACCAGTTAGAATACCTTCAGACTGAACAAACAGAAAATCCAATTCAAATAGTTCTTAGTAACAGGAAACTCAGTTCCAACATAATTTTAAAAGAGTGTTAGAGCTGAGGATATAACTCAGTGGTAGAAGGTTTGCACACCCCATCCCCCACACACATATGCACAGGTTTCTGCTTCATTTTTAAGTTGAGAATAAAGTAGACAAAACAGTTTCAGACCTCACATCTCTACACAAAACCTAAAAGACAAGATCATCTTAAATTTTAGGACATTTATTTCCTAGAAAGTCTCATCCACTGAATTTTTCCACTTGCCTTCCACTGTTTACATGGACATTCTAGAACCAAATTCTATGACTAGGAAAGTATTATTCATTGATGAGCTGAGGCCTGACTTCTTTAACTAACCACTGAGGGAGCTAATAATTACCTTTTAACAAATTTAGGTCCACTTCTAGAGCAGGGTAGGTTCAGCTTTCCCGGGAGCATATGGATGGTACAGGAGGAGAAGTAGGTAGCTATGTAAAAATCTGGGTACTGCTAAGAATAAGTAGTTATGTTAGTCAGATTTCCATTGCTGTGATAAAATAACTGACTTAAACAACTTAAAAGAAGGAAAGATATATTTTGACTCATAGTTTCAGATGTTTTGATTATATGGTTGCTTCGCTCTGGTGGTTTTGAGCCTGTGATAAGACAGCATATCATGTTGGGAGCATAGAGGGAGCAAAGTTGCTCACCTCATGACAGCTAGGAAGCAAAAACAAAGGACAGGGTCCCAATGTCCTCTACAAGGCATGCCTTGAATGGCCTAATTTACTTCCACTAGGTTCCATCTCCTAAAGGTTTTATTGGGTCTGGGGACCTAAAGGACAGATGAGTGAGTATCCCATCCCCCATAGAGAGCACTGTGAGCCTTGTACCCTGAGGAAGAGATACAGGGTCTCATAAATCTGCCACGGGGCTGATAAACAGAATGCTCTCAAGGTTGTTTCCTCCCATAAGGAGCAAGACCAGCTCATGGAAGAGATCCTGCACACGAGCCACGGCCAATGGAAAGAACCCACCTAACCCTTACCCTAACCCAGAGTTAAAGCATCCATAAAAAGCCCCAGCCTTCACCTCAGCAGGGAGCCACTAGTTTCTGGGCTCCATGGCACTGCTCTAGCTATAGCCTTTTCTTTCTCTAATAAATCCTACTTTGTGTGTGACTTTGCTGTCTCATGAGTCAATCAGCTGCCTCATGAGTCAGTTCTTTGGGCTGTGAAGACAAGAAGTCTCGACACCAGCCCGCAACATTTTCATCACCTTCCAGGGGTCTATGTAGGCATCTGTGCCTTTGGGAGACATTTAAAATCCAAACCATAACAGTAGTCAATCAAAAATATCTACAAAAGGAAGCCTGTGAAAAAAATCACCAGTCCATAAGAACTACTTGGACAGAGCCTGGCGAGGTGGTTTGCAACTCTAATTCTAGCACTGGGAAGGCAGAAGCAGGAGGATCATGAGTTCAGGGACAGCCTGGACTACATAGTGAGTACATAATTAGACCTGTTGCAAGAAACCAAAAAAAGAAAAAGAACACATTTTTCAAAGACCTGCTAAATTTCCCTCTAGGTATGTGAAACAAGGACAAACTTAAAACTTAGTAATACAGTCCATGATTGTTCTACTACTCTACTACTCGCCTCAGAAACCACAACCATAGCCTGCCTAGCAAGTATGAGACCCTGAGTGCAAACCCCAGTACCGCCAAAAAAAAAAGAAAAAAAGAAACCTCTACTATAAAAATCCCCAGAAACTGTCTGACACAGGAAAATGGAAACCCATGAGGTGGATAAAAATACCATAGGACCTCCAAGAAGATACTCTTAGTCAACAAATCCCTAAAGTTGATTTAGAAAAGTTGTGGTAGAGAGACCTTGATCACAGAACATCCAATGAAGAGCCTTATTATAGTTTCCAATATGATGAGAAAAGAAGAAAACAAGGACGAAGATTGACAACCTCTTTTAAAAGGCAAATTGAGGCACATTGTTTTGCTTTGACTTGGGTTTTGTTTTGAAACAAGGTCTTGCTATGTAGTCTAGGCTGCCTTGGAATGCACTAGATAGTCCAGAACATCCTCAAATTTGTGATCCTCCTGCCTCAGCCACCAGAGTGCTGGGATTACAGGTGCATACCATCACATCTGGAGACACATTACATTTTTAAAGAGTTTACTTAAGCAGAGAACAATTAATGAACAAGGCAGCACACAGACCAAAAGAGTTTGAGAGAGCTCTGCTACAGTAGTATGGCCATGAGCTTTTATAGACTGAAGGCAAAAGCAAAAGAAAATATATTTTGATTTGTTAGAGTGGAAAGTCCCTGCTTATTGGAAGTTAGGAGTGGTTTCTTCTTTTTTTTTTTTTTTTTTTACTATTTACATTGTTCTTTTGTATGCTTATGTAGGAACCCAAAGCACTGGAGCCATTCAATTGAAAGCCTCCCAACTAAGTTTTTAACACCTGGCAGGCAATGTAACCTAATCTAATTTTAAAGATTTCTATTCCATAAATCAGGATTGTGTCTGGAATTTACTCCCTCAAATCCTTTATTTTCTATGCATGTGCACAGAAAATGCAAGCCTGCTGTTGTGGCTGATTGTGCACCTAAAAAAAGGCATCTTCAAATCCTAACCCTTGTTACCTATGAATATAACCTTATTCAGAAATACAAACTTTAGCCTTGAATTCAAACCCCAGTCCCATAAAAAAAAAAAGAAAGAAAGGAAAAGAAATACAAACTGCAGATGTAATCAACCTAACTTAAGGTCATAATAGAGTAGGGTGGGCACTTTATCCAGCATGACTGATATCCTTATAAAAAAAGAGAAATGACACCTGGGGAAGACAACAGAGGCAGAGTTACACTGCCACAAACCACTAGATACCCAGAAGAACTGAAGGTGAAGGAGGTAAGGAAGGATCCTCCCCGAGAAGCTGCAGAAGGAACATGGTCCTGCCAACTCCTTGATTTCAGACTTTTGGCCTCCAATCCCATGAGAGAATAAATTTCTGTTGTTTTATAACAGGTACTTAGAAACTGCTTTTGCTAAAAATCATTGGTTCCTCACTTGGGACCATAAAGTAGTTAAAAGCAGGACAAAAGCCTGGCATCACTGCCTTCATTTCACATCTGTCTCCTTTGCTTTAAAACTTTATGAGTCAGACTCCTGCTTAATTCTGCATGTTAATCACTCAAGAAGTATATGTCTAAAAATCTGATGATACCTATCCTATCTCATCCCCCTTCAAGGCTTAAGGAACAAAGATGAGAGTAACTGAGGTATCTTATTATTAACTTTTACAGTTCCAGCACAGCCTTCCTCAAAGCATCTGAAAGTCTCCAGTCATTGTCTTAAATTTGAGGTTGTTAGGGTACCTTCAAGGCTTGCAGCCCACTCAGCCTGAAACCGGCCATGGCTAACATGACCCAAGTCGCCACTTACTGGAACAAAGGGAGGTGGGACGGTTTCTGGGAACAGGGACTGTTTCTGGTTAATCTTGCTAAACGCTATGTGAGTCAATGAATTAAGACACCTGGTGTTTATCAA